CTTTATGAATTGTTATTTGAAAAGAACAATAATAGGAATGACAAAAAATTTAAATTAATAATGTAATTTATATTATGTTATTAAATTAATTAATTTATATAATATCCATATTTGTAAGATCCATATTTTTGACCATTCATTCAACTAAAGCAAACCGCGTGTTGATTATTTGTAGGGCCCATATTATTTATAGCAAACCGCGTCTTGATTGTTTTCTTTATAATCTTGCTATTTTCAATACCAACACGAGAAAATAATTAAATCTAAGTTAATTAAATAAATCCATTAGAATAAAATATTAATTCAATAGACTAGTTTAATTTATACTTTAATCTATTTTTCTCTCTCTTTTGCAGAAATGCTGTTTTATCCAATGGAGATCGTCTCTTGTTAAAGATTCTCTTTTCTCTATTATGCATAACTTGCTATCCGAGCAGTTGAACGAATTTATAAGTGATCAACTACGGGATTCAATGGAGGAAGTACGTGCCCAAATGGAAAGCTGGAAGACTCAATTGCCCAAAATTATTGCTGTACTTCAAGATGCGGAAGAAAATCCAGTTGCCAACCGGTTTGTGAAGTTATCTCTTGATGATCTCAGGGACTTGGCTTATGATATGGAGGACATACTCGAAGAGTTTGTGATTGATCCCAAAAGGTTTGAATTGATTGCAGAATCTGAAGCCAGACCTAGCCAGACGGATCTGAGCGATAGATTGCAGAAAATTGAAAATGGGATGCGTAGTTTGGACTTGACCAATTTGGCTTTGACTTTGAAACTTGAAGATTGGTCTCACAGAGTAGCTGCAAAAAGATTACCTCCTGAGTCTTCTTTACTTGTAGATAAGGTGTGGGGTCGAGATAGAGATAAAGATGCTATTCTTCGGAGGTTGCTAGAAGGTGGAGGCAGTCTCGAACAAGATTTTGTTATTCCCATTGTCGGAATGGGTGGACTAGGCAAAACAACTCTTGCTCGTCTCATTTACAATGATAAGAAACTGAAAGGCAGATTTGACTTGAAGGCATGGGTTTGTGTTTCTGATGAGTTTGATGTTACTCAAATAACAAGAACCATTTTAGAACATGTAACTGGGGAGGAACCGCGCAACTCTGATTTTGGTGTGCTTCAAGAGAAATTGAAAGGGAAGTTATTTGGGCGTAAGTTTTTTCTTGTATTGGATGATGTTTGGAATAAGGAATATGGCCAATGGGATGTCTTGAAGAGACCTTTCATGTCAGGAGCTCCTGGAAGTAAAATAATCGTCACAACTCGAAATAAGGATGTTGGGACGATGATGAGAGGAGATGATGGAGTTTACAAACTAGAATTGCTACAAGATGATACTTGTTTGCCATTGTTTACACAACATGCACTGGGGAAAGAGAACTTTGATGCGCACCTACACTTACAAGATGTTGGTAAGAAGCTTGTTGAGAGGTGCAAAAGATTGCCATTAGCACTAAAAACACTTGGTGGCGTCTTACGAGGAGAGCTACGTCGTGATGAGTGGGAAAATGTATTAAACAGTGACATATGGAGTTCATCAGAAGATAGAGGTGGGATTTTTCCTGCTTTAAGATTGAGCTATAATCA